TGATTAAATGTTTTCAAGGCTATAAGGAGAATCTCATTGGTATTTAGATGCTGTTTAGAACACCAACATAGCAGGATATATGTATGAAATTTCATTAACCCATTGTTTTAAAGGGAACAAAAACCTGCAGAGTTGATGTTTCCCTAAACCTGGGACTTCCGTGTATTAAAAGATGGTTTAAAAAAAAAAAAAAAAAAAAAAGCTAAATTTAGCCCAGGAATGGTGTAGTATTGCCTGGGTAGCCACGAGATTGAAAGGATGTGGACCACTAGTGAAGTATCAAGAAGTTTGCTTGGTACGAAGAATAATCAAGCTTAGCTGTGATATGCATTGACTGTGTTTGTAAAATGTTATTGATGTAATTTTAATTATACCCAATCATTGGTGCATCAACAAACAACCAATTGGAGCGTCAAAATGTTTAGTGAAGAGAATTTTAACAAAATACAGTTAGGAATGGAGGAATGGCATCTCATGATTTACTTGTGACCATATAAAATCTGACCCTACAGCAAAGAGTCAGAGATCCAAAATACAGCTGATAGGACTTCTGTTGCAAGAGTGAAATAATAGTCTCTTGGTTTTTGAATTACAAGACATTAAAGAAGCTACTCAACACCATAGGTAGATAACCAACCCAACAAAGTATTTCCATCGCAACCTACATCCTTAATGTGGCCTCTTGAGTCGCATGCGAGACGTCAACAAATGTCTGCGTGATGCCACCATATTTTGGGGCATCAAGGAAGGGAGTGTAGCAGGCAAACTGAGTGATGCTAAGGCTTTTTAACAAGAAGTAGGCCTTCCCAGAACTAAGCAACAGAACTGAACAGTGTGCCTTGTGTGGCACTGGGAGATGTGAGTGCTGTGACTGTGCTAGGCAAGCAAGGAACAACAGTTTCCATATAAGGAATGCTTAGCACAGAGCCAGGGGATCAGACAATTTGGAATGAGAAACATTACAAAAGTAATGAACAAAGAAAGGTGTGTGTAGCATGCCATGATTCTGGGAGGTCAGATACAGCTGCTGTATCCCTGCTCGAACAGCAGGGAAGCCAGAAACTTGCATCCCACTCACCCAGCCAAGGACTTGAAGCCTTGTACCTCCGAAGGTCACTGCTGTAATGTCTAAGGAGTCACCAGGCCGTATAACACAGAGGAAACCTGTAATATTGCCTAGGGGTTGCTATTAAAGTTTACTTGATACCACATTGGGCAAGTTGCCTTGTTAGTTCGTTGGAGGGGGTGATGATCTCTGGCAAAAAGAAATCTTATTGGTAACAGCAGGGGTAGAGGCAGGTGCTGCCCATCCAGGACGGTGAATGGGACGTGGGGAGGGGGTGAGGAGGGGGATGACTCCTTGCTGCTGCATGCATGCCTGGGGAGGCACTTCTTACCCCGTGAAGTGCTTCATCTGGGGAGGAAAAATCCGCAACAAACTTACAAGCTTGGCAGTGCTATGCTAGCTAGCACCATGTCCAAAAGGGACCTGGGGGTCATAATTAACCATAAAATGAATATAAGCCACCAGTGTCATGCTACAGTTAGCAAAGCAAACAATATTTCATAGATTTCATAGACATTAGGGCTGGAAGGGACCTCAGAAGATCATCGAGTCCAGCCCCCTGCCCAAAGGGCAGGAAGTCAGCTGGGGTCATAGGATCCCAGCAAGATAAGCATCCAGTTTGCTCTTGAAGGTGTTCAATGTAGGTGCTTGAACCACCTCCGGTGGCAGGCTGTTCCAGACCTTGGGGGCTCGGACAGTAAAGAAATTCTTCCTTATGTCCAGCCCGAAACGGTCTTG